TCCATGAACAGTATAAACCATTTGTTTTAAAACCTGCTTAAAACGCCTTGAAATGATAAGCTTAGACTACATCATAACGCGCTTCAATCAACAATTGATATGTATCTACCGGATTATCTCCCAACCCTTAAATGAATATAGTTTGTTCAAACACAAAAACAATATAAATCCAGTTAATAATCAAACTAACCTAAAATCCATGTGGACGATGACACTGTTTTTGGTGGCTTTGGCGATCGGCGCTCCAATCAATCTACTCCACAGCCAATCATGGGCCCCCTCCTTGCTCGGGCCCCGGGGCTTCAGCCCCGCCTAGCCCAATGGTTAAAACGGCCCTGACTATACTGTGGTACTATCGTGGATGGTAATATAATTGTAACTTCACATATACTATGGTACTGATTGATTACCATACTCCTGTTACATGGTCTTAACATAGTACTTAAAAAATACCATAGTATTATCATGGTTAAGGTTCAAATACATGGTATTGCCATGGCACCATGTCCAGCAAACTATAGTGCCGTGATACTTTTGGTTCAGTACATTTGCTGTATTACACACATTACAATAGGTGGAAGATATTTATTAAAAATATCTACTTTTCGAATCTGGTGATGACATCGGCGATTATGGTGCTGCCTCCAATAGCTTTTTCCCAGCATGCATTCTGCTCAAAAAGAGCAAATGTGTTTTGGCTGTCCTGCAGCCCGAGGCGTTCCGCCATCTTCCTCACGACCTGGAGAGAGAAAATGAGAGTGAGAAACAGTGTTATTTAAGTATTATTTATATACTATTATAGTATTTACTCATGTTTTGAATTAGCTTTTATTTTAATATTTTCAGTTTTACTACTAATTTTTGTTACAAATTTTATTAGTTTATATTTCTGTTTGGCTTTTATTTATTTCTATTTTAATTCTAGTTTAGTTTTAATAATTTTAGTACTTAAACTTAAGTCACTTAGTTACATTTTTTCATCTAATATTTATATTTAATTTTATTTTAGCTTTATTTCTATAAAAAAACAACTTTGATTTAAAAGTAATCATTTTAGTTAACAAAAACAACAATTGATTGAAAGTGAGAAAAATCTATGTAAAAGTAGCAGAGCAAATTAATAAAAATAATACATATTCTTACATTTTTGTGGAAGGATAATTGCAAAAACAGAATTCAACATTACTAAAATCAGTACACTTATAAATAAATACATCTGTCTGGTTCTTATTATTTGCGTGCTAATGATTAATCCTTTGTGTGGCTTAAGGTTCCCATCAACCTCTGCTAGAGAGGAAACGGTTGATCCAATACCTCATTAGCCGTGGTGTGTGAGGTGATCGGTATCTGGCAGCAGCCCGGTCCAGGGTAGTGCACAGTACACAGTATCTCCTGCCTTCCCATCAGCCCCTGGATCTCCTCCCATGAGGGCACACACTCACGGCCGCGCGTCTTCTCCAGAGCCTGGGCTATGAAGGACGCGTAGCTCTCCACCTCCGGGTCCACATTCAAACTCTGAACCCTGACAGCAAAAGAAAGGGATTTTAAAAACTTTACAGGGACCATTTACATAATTTCACATCCAAACCACAAAATTTCCCTCCAAAAAAATCAGAGAGAAGTTGTGTGGCCCCTCTGTTTAGTTTATCTATTTGCGATATGAAGTGTCAGCCACTTGGTAATTGCATGCATGGCAGAGGCCCTATCTGTGTTAAGTAAACACATGCGGGAAACGTCTGGGGGTCTCAGGAGAACAGAGACTCGTCCGTCTCCATTACACCAGCCGCCTCTGTAATCAAAGCCCTGTGGTCAACGCACCATTTCCTCACGGCACACTCGTTTATTTAGCCATTCTCTTATTTTCTGTCTGTCCTCCAAGCCTGGCAGTACTTTAAGAGTCAATTAGCCATGAGATGCAGAAAGCATCATGCCGTTTCCCAGCCCCTCGAGGAGAGGAAAAGTCAACCTGGAACCTTCCATTCCAGTCAACCTCAGGCAGCCCATAATTCCTACACACTCGACCGCAGAACCGGAGGCAGTTGTGCGTGTTTATACTCAAGGACTTCTAGGTAACCTTTATGTGTGTATGTTGAGATCTGGCTGGTGGATTTGTGAGTGTACACATCCAGTGCATTGTACAGATGTGATGTGCATAACTCACCTCTTCAGGTGAAAGCGCAGGTATCGGAGTATGCTGCAGCTGGGCAGGAAGGTGCAGCTCATGCAGGTGAGCAGCTGCCAGTATCTGAGCTGCGGATTCGGCTGTGTCTGCGTCTGCGTCTGGACACGTGAGTTGGTGACGCTGGTCTGTTTGATAAGCTGGCAGTAGAGTTCATCTCGGAGTGGCCGGAGGTCGAGGCAGGTCTGGAGGATCCCCTGTATGAGAGGAATGGGCTCACGGGCCGACTCTAACTGCTGGAGGCAGTTAAAAAGCCTCACCGCCTCTTCACGGATGGATGTGTAGCCTTTACTTGCCATATCTAAGAAGAAAAGCAAGACGAGGTGTGTTAATACATATATACATATATACAGTGGGTATAGAAAAGAATCACCCCCCTTTAAAATAATCACATTTTGTTGCTTTGCCACCTGAAATGAAGATGGACACAGTTTTTGTTTTATTCAGCTGTATTTACTCAGTGCAACTTATAACATCCAAGAAAAAAAAATTATAGGATGGGACTTGATTTTGTCTATCGGAAATTGATTTGATCGTTGGATGGTTATGTGTTGCATGTCAGCAAATTTGGCTTCATGTCAGCAAATTTTTGGAGGGGAAAGGTCATCAGAGAAGAGATGTTGTTGCAAAAGGGAGGAGACATAAATATTTTTGATTAAGTGGGTAACATGAATTTTAAATAAATAATGACGTGCACAGATAAGTCATTTATAATTTAACACAGCTTTGCCTTTGCTTTACTTCTACTTGACAGGTAGCTGGGTGACCATGGATACACCAAAACGGCAGGGTTGTAGAAAGAGGGGGGGTGTCTAATCTGATTGGTTCATTGAAACCAGTGGTGGGTATATGTGATATATGCCATGTGAGTATGTGTGTGGTTGACTCACGTGTGTGGTGGAGGCTGCCATAGGGGAAAGGCAACAGTGGGGCGTAGAGGGGGCTCTGCGTGTACCTCAGGATGGGATTATGCTCATAGATGTGCTCCACAACCTCTGGATTGAATTTATTCTCCTATACAACGCACATAAACACACACAAAGCAATGCAAGGCCAATGAAACACCTTGAAATAAATAAACTCAAGACAGATATATCTGCTGTGTATCATTATGTCCCCATAAATATTTGACCTCTTTGTTATGGGGTCCATAATGAAATGATGAAATGACGTTTTATATGGAAATGCGATGTTTGGGAAAATGGCTTGAGGGGGGATGAATGAAATGGAAACAGATTTCAGCTTACAGATGGATTTGACAACCCTGGTCAAGGCCTGCTCTGTGTGTGTATGTATAATGAAAACTGCTATGTACATTTCAAGGGTGAATAAGGGCAGTTTATGTTTGTTGTGGGGTGTTTGCTTATAACAGACATGATCAACCAAACTAAGAGCAGTTAAACGTGACAAGACCTCCTGCCATAACCACTATGTACTGTGTGTTTGAGTTTGTGAGTGGTAAAACAAATAGTACAAACAGATATTAACTTAAGGTTACATGTCAGAACTATATCTTCTAACTGATACTTAACATAATGCTTCATGAATATTTTATTTATAGTCTGCCTGTCTGTCTGCCCGTTTATGTACAACCTCAATGGGATTCCAAGGAGTCCTGTGGGCTAGCAACTAGCATCCTATTAATACAGATCTATGCAAGAGCGCCGGCATTACATCATAACAACAGGGTTATTCTCAAGAGCTACTCGCTGCCTTCAAAACTATTTCCAGAGACACAGGATACTGATGAGCACATCTATAAGTGTAAAATCACTAGCCAACAAACTAATAATAATAATATACTGGGGCAGAGAGATGACAGTGGGTGGGGTTTAAATGGTTTACACACCGTGTCTGTATATGTTTGCCATCCTGAACATTTCTTTAGGAGCTAAGCTGCCATTTATATATATACACACACATATAGATATATAAATATATATGTACATGTATATACAGTGGAGACAAAAAAAACTTTTATATTTTCTTACATTATACACTATTTTCCCAAATTTGGGGTCGATAAGATTTTTAAATATTTTTGAAAAAGTCTTATATGCTCACCAAGGGGGCATTTATGTGATCAAAAATACAGTAAACATTTCAATATTGTGAAATATTATAATAATTTAAACTAACTGTTTACTATTTGAATATAATTTAAAATGTCATTTATTCCTGTGATGGTAAAGCTGAATTTTCAGCAGTCATTACTCCAGTCTTCAGTGTCACATGATCCTTCAGAAATCATTCTAATATACTGATTTTCTGCTCAAGAATCATTACTTATTAATGTTGAAAACGGTTGTCCTGCTTAATATTTTGTGGAAACTCTTTTCAGGATTCTCTAATTAATAGAAAGTTCAAAAGAACAGCATTTATTTGAATAAAAGTATGTGTTTGTGTTTGCAACATTTATAATCCCTCTTGATATGCTGTCGTGTTCATCTCCGCTGCTGCTTGTTCTCTCACCTCAATGTCTCGTATGAGGAGCTGTGTTGGCGTCTCGACCGGCGCTTTGCTGTCTATGACTTTCTGCACAGCACACGCCCAGTGCACTGCCTCATTGTAGTGCTTTGTGAAGAGTCTGTAGCAATGTTTGCGGCCATACACTGTCAGACTCCAGTAACCTGTCACACATACACATTAAAGAGGCCCATATTTAGTGCTACTCTTCAATACAAAAATAGCATCTCCTAACAATTAGGAGAGTACATACATAAAGAAAAGTAAACAAAAAAATGCAATAAAGCATACATATGCGTATACGGTTTCTGATTAAAGACAAATGTACTAGAGAGCTCCAGCATTATGACAACCTCATATTTCATGTTTCTGACCTGCAGTAAATGTGATCAGAAGTTCTGAGAGAGATCTTTTATGAGGATCTTACTAACATCTTGTTTCTCCCTTGTTGTTAACTTTGGCAGTCAAAAGAATGAAGCTTTGGTTCAAAACTGAGGCTTTTAAAGACCAGAGGTGGAAAGTAACGAATTACATTTACTCGCGTTAGAGGTGAGGTAAATACTTGCATCGTTGCATTGGTGGTTAAAATTACGCTTTGACAGTTTAGCAAGAGGTTTTGCACAAATTAGCCAAAAAGACAGTGGTGCAGGGTGTGCGATATATATCGTCTGCGATAATATCATAATTGTTGTTTTAACGATGTGCGATTTGACATTATCAGTATTTTGCCAAAAACCAAACCAAACACTCCAACAGAGTGCCGTGAAGTCTAGTAGATTAGACTAGTGCGCGCGCGTATTTTGACCATAGACTGCGTTCTTTCACTGCGTCATTCAGTCTGTTAAAATGCATTTAGAATGATCACAAAATTGAAGATATAGGGGCAGAATATAGATATAGGGGCAGAAAATGTATATATTTATATCATTTCATATAGTAAATCAATATCACACGAAGAATGCCGTTTTTCCTCCAAAAATCATCATGATTACATATAGATTTACAACAGTTCAATAAACAAGAAGTTAATTAAGAGACTTGCATTTTAGACACTATATTGCCTGTTTTTGCTCTATTTCTACAACAAAAATATTTATCAACCGTTTAAATGATTCGGTTCAATCGCAATGACTTACTTATTAACAGTGATTGCTGACACCTACTGGCGGTTTTAATTTCACATTAAAACCGCCAGTAGGTGTTTTTCCCCTTATAATTTCAAATGAGTATTCAACATTTTATGTCTAATATATCAAAACATTATTTCTGCAGGTTAAATGCATTCATGTCCTGCATTAAACAGTGTGTAAATACATCTAAATGCCACTTCCGATGAAGCTTCTGTGTTTCCTCTGCATTGAAAAGATGAATTTTGTTGATACTGATTTAATTTGCCTGGTAACAGCCCAAATGTCTTATTATTCAAAAACAACTAGTTTGAGATTTATAGGCCTATCCCAGGGGTTTCAAACTCAGTTCCTGGAGGGCCGCAGCCCTGCAGAGTTTACTTCCAACCCTGCTCCAACACACATACCATGTAGTTTTCAAATAAGCCTAAATGCTTAGATTAGCTGGATCAGATGGGTTTAATTAGGGTTATATCTAAACTGTGCAGGGCTGAGCTTGACAGTTTTTATCTAGGAAAGTCCCTAAAGTTAATCTGGGAAAAGCCCTGAGTTTTGTGGACTGTGCTGGTTGAAAGTTTGTGTGTGTGTGTGTGTGTGATTCAGAACTCCAGCTGAACATGTGCCATGTGAGCACACACACACACACACACACACACACAGTATGACTAAGCCTCTGAGTCTGTCTGGTCATTCCCTACCATCTTCCCAGACAACAATGGCTCTCGTTTGTCTGCCTTCATTTCTCTTTTGGTCTTCTCAAACAATCCTGCATTTCATTTCCTCAATCAAAGTCTTCCCACAAGAAAGATTTCACGCCAATGCAGACAAGAGGTCTCACGGCTGCTCTGATCTGACCAAAAGATCAGCTCTCTCCGAAAAAAAATGCATGTCGCTGTGAGTACAAATCCTAAAATAGTGAGTGAAATATTGTGTTTATCTTCCACTGAAAGCTTGGCTCATACCATCACACCACGAACCACGCACGACACAAAAAGTGACAAGCAAATAAAGTCATCCAGGGTTTCTGGAGGTTTTATGAAGACTTTTTAAAAACCTTTTTAAGACCAAATAAAGAAAATTTAAGGAATACATTGAAGAGAACAATACATCAATATGTTCTATAAATTCTATAAATGTCTAGGGAACACACAATGAACTTCAAATTCTCCATCTCTGAAAAAAAAAATTACATACCATTTTCACATAGAACTTACTAGTAAATTTCACAAACAATTACAAAGAAACAGCAAGTAACACTTTGAATTAAACTTGACATTCTGAAGTAGAAAATCTGAAATCTGTTGATTGTGGTTATGAAGCTATGAAGTTAAAAAAAATTGAATATTATACGATAAAATCACCAGAACAACCTTAAAATCATCACTGAAGTCCTGAGAAAACCAGGGACGCGTTCATCGTTTAATGCCCCTTCAGGGCAAACAGAACTGCTCTGACTGATACCTTATTTATGACTAAAATGTACATATTAGTTCTTTAGAAAAATAACGTGTACCCTCAAGGTACTATGAACCTTCCAGGGGCTGGCTGCACCAGCTGTACTCAAGTTACAACTTAGCCTAGTTTTGAAATGGGCATTAAGTTAAAACTTACGCACTACTAAATATTTTTTCGTTGCACCATTACACTTAGTTGAAGCGTAACTCTATGTATAAACTAAATATTTATGGAAGTGTCCGGTCAGGAGTAACGGTTGGAATAAAACAGCAAGACTGAGTGAACTGCATCCATATGCTCTTATTTTATCCGACAACCTTCAATCCTTTAGACATATATGATGCTACTGACATACATACATATGAAGAGAGAGAACAATATGTGAATCAACGTACTTTGTTTCTTTTTTAGCACTTCTTCAACACCCCATCTACAGCGCGCCTCTGTGTGCTTCGGTCCATGTTGTACATGTCAAATGAAATCATCTATAATAAATAAATGGCATTTCTTATGTTTTTTTTTCTTTCAGTATTTATTGATCCTTATTCATTTCAATTACAGTTTCTGAATGCTATTTACATATAAAAATAGCTTACCTATAGGCTAATGTTATTCATGTTTAAGTAGTATCGTTTTTACCATTTTTACTAATTTTTACCATTAGTTACGTGAGGCAAAAGAAGTTAGAGTGAAGGATAAACTGAAATTCACAGCATTTAAACAAGTTCTGCTTGTGTATTTGAAGGCTTCTATTGGATCATTTAGGGTAAACGTCATATGCGACTACGCATTACTTTACGGAGAGCTTACAGACTACTATTGGTGCAATTGGTGCAACCGAATAATGTATAGATTTAGTTACAAACTAGCTAGTAGTTACTAAGCCTCTAGTGTGGACTTAACTTTCTAATTTAAGAAAGAACTTACGAATGGCTGGTGTGACAAGCTGTTGAACCCCTAAATGTACAATCTTGCACACTTTTTCTGAGAGCGTGTACAATGAAAAGGGAGGGTGACTGAGACTGTCCTAGTTTAATTGCAGGTGCATTACCTGTCTGTTTGTAGGTGTGTTTATCCGGCCACAGCACTGAACAGAGGGATGTGAGTACAAGCATGCCCAGTCTGCGAGCATCTCTGTCCGGGCCGCTGTAGTAGTCAAGAGAGTCTGTTGTCAACACAAACCAGAACCTCCTCTGCCGGAGCCAACCTCCCTGCACCTCCCGCAGGAGCCAGCCTGGAAAACAAAACAGAGAAGACCCATATTATACATGATAAATACTGTAACAGACCAATCATATGAGAATATGGAGATTTCCATTACAAAACCTGACAGAAATAAATGGTGTAATTTGAAATATCATTCTTTGAGAGCTAGTTCATGGTGCTCGTGCAGAGTCAGACTGAGTGATCATGGAAAAAAGCGGAACAGCACAAACCAGCCCATCCACATTCAGCCGAGAGCAGCGTACCAAACCACCGCTCACCCAACTTAATAGAGGGTTGTGTTAAGGTCACACTGGGGATAAAATCTCCCTCCAAACCTTCAGAAAATTTGTTGTCTATGCACAAATTTGTATCAGAGCCAATAATCAAGAAACATTTCATGGGAAAAGCACTTTTTTTTGTAAACCCTCATGACACCCGGACCATGTTACCTTTTTTCCGCTGCTGCTTGCAGATGCATTGCACCTGCTACCTTTCCCTTTGAATATTTGAGTGTGTGTGTGTGTGTGTGTGTGTGTGAGTCAGCCAGACAGACTGGGGGAAGACTGTCTTATTTAGCAGCTCTGTGGGCCAGCATGAGACAGGCTGGCGGAGTATTTGGACCCTTCTACACTAATATTACTCTGCCCTGCATATTATTACTCATTACATGTGACTGAGTATTATTACCACTCCAGTGCAGCAAATACCACAGCACTCACATTTACACACTCTGAAATCATAGACGACTCTGAATAACACACACACATACACACTTAAACTTGTGGTCAGCAGCTTTAGTGTTGGTTAACGATGTCTAACTGTCTAAATTGGTGTGAAGTGTGTCAGTCAATTCATGTGTCACTGATAAAACTGCAAGCTATAACTGATGCATGTGTGTGTACTGGGGACTATCCCGAAAGCGAGCTAAAGCTAACAAAAACTTCCTTTTGGTACATTTGAGTATATACTTAAAAAAAAAAAAAATTCTAAATATGTATACTTTTTAGAATGCAAAATATTTGGTTTTAATGGTAGACGTAGGAATCACAGATTGACCAATATTCAATTTCACAACGAATACAGTCGGTATAGAAAAGAATCACCCCCCTTTAAAATAACCACATTTTGCTTTGCTGCCTTAAATGAAGATGGACACAATTTTTGTTTTATCCAGCTGTATTTAATCAGGGGGTGATCCTTTTTCCAACTCAGTGATTCTGTTTTTTATTTATTTATTTTTTTCTGGTGTTATATCTTTCACTTGAATGTTATAAGTTGCACTGAGTAAATGCAGCTGGATTAAACAAAAACTGTGTCCATCTTCATTTCAGGCTGCAAAGCAACAAAATGTGATTATTTTAAAGGGGGGGGGGTTCTTTTCTACACCCACTGTACTGCTGATTGTTTTTAAGTGTACAATAACTGATGCACTGTCAACCGATAAATATTGTTTAGTTTTTTGACTCAGTATTACTTGAATATTACTGTAAATGTAAATTCTGAATATGTTACAAAAGATTTCTATTTCAAATAAATGTTTTTTATTCATCAAAGGATCTTGATTTTCACAAAAATATTAAGCAGCACAAATGTTTTCAAATCGATCATGAGAAATGTTTCTTGAGCAGCAAAGCATATTAGAGTGATTTCTGAAGGATCATGTGACACTGAAGGTAATGACTGCTGAAAATTCAGCTATCATCACAGGAATAAATTACACTTGAAAATATATTCAAATATAAATAGTTGTTTTATAATATTTCATAATATTTTTACTGCTTCATAATATTTGTAATATTTTTGATCAAATAAATGCAGCCTTGGTAAATATAAGACGTCTTTCAAAAACATTAAAATACTTTTTTAATAACTAACTTTTGAACAGTTGTATGTTTATCTCTACACCTGATAATTACTAATAATGATAAGGTTTAAAATCATTAATATCTGTAAACAATATTGCTTAATTTTCTTGTCAGTCTATTTGGGTTAGTTTATACTAATTATAAATAGACGATAGAACTGTGTGTGTGTGTGTGTGTGTGTGTGTGTGTATGTAGACATTGTTTAGCCTGCTACACCAGGGTAGAGAAAGTTATGAGTCAGATTTGGGATTAACTCCCTAAAGATAAAGTTACCAGAGTGTCACAAAGTTTAAAACACATTTCAACCTTTGAAATTGTAATCTACATGCTTTAAAACTGAAACAAGAATTAATCTAATTCACTTCAGATTAATGATTCCAAGTAACCAGCAGAATAAAATAAGTGGGACATAATACACACAAATGCACCAATGCATGCAAACAATACATTTAGTTTTATAGCCATAATGACAAATATGACTTGATCTGGTGAAGTAGAAGAATTTCTTCCTCACCCTTCACAAGCACCTCATTGTCTTTGTCCATCTTCATCTTACTCTTCTGTGTGATGAGACTTCTCTTCTCCTCAGGAACTCCTGACAGACTGAACAACATGAAACACAACACAGACATCAGCAATGTGCCCATTCCTTGAGGGAAGCTGGGGTCAACATCACACTTCTGCTGCTAAAACAGACCCCAACATAGCACAAAACCACTCCACATATGCAGACATTTCACATCTCACACACAAACACAACACACACATGCACATCCCTCCACCACCACGGCCAGGCAGGCAGGCAGAGCTTTATCGGTCTGGCAGCCAGGGAAAAGACTGAAAATAAATGTGTCTACGAGATGCCAAGGACACTCACACGCAAAGAGAGAACTAGGAAGAGACAAGGAGAACAAGAGTGGACTAGAGGTACTGACAAGAAAATAGTTGTCAAACAGACATCACTAAAGTTTACAGGGCCTGGGACAAAAATGTTATGGGTAGGTCCACTTTCCCCTGGGCTCAATATATATGTACTATACTATAAAGGACCTTAGTGGGACACTCCTCATCACTTTAGACTGTTCCTTTGGGAATTTTTGGGGTCTTCTGCTACATGGCTGAGTTGCTGCTGTTCCTAAATTTAACCATGTAATATCTAGCAGGGATGAAATTTCACAAATTGCAAAGGTTGTTTCTTGCTAGTTTGATTCCTGCGCAAAAAAAAAAACTCTTATCATCATGAACATGGATAAAAATCAAGGTAACAAGTGTCTAGTGAACGGCTAATTGTATACCTGAACTAAAAGACTCTTGTCAAGAACAGAACAACAGCTTGTAATGCGGTTACCCTAGAGGACGTCATTAGCTAACAAATGATAGATGATTTGAGGAATGCTGGGAGCACAAGCACCTTGAAGCAGACAGTGACAAATAGATAATCACTCTGAAACACTGGCACACAGACACACACACACACACACAAAGGAGGAATTGAATGTGACCGCGTGTTGGTTAATCAAACAAGACATTCCTGCATCTCTTGTTACCTGAAGTCAGAATTTCATTTGGCACTAATTATCTGGACTTGCTAGTTTCTCACCCAAATTAACCATTTCTTAAGTTAATCAAATGGAGAGTCCTGAAAACTTATTTCCTCATTCTGATGCTCTGGAAAAACATCATGGTTTGTAACCAGAGATCATATGATCACTGACTGGCCCAGTGTCTCTGATAGGAGAGTCTGATTACACGCATGTGTGTGTATGATGTACTGATATCAATATTTTGGCCGATACCAAGAAGCTTATTTTCATGCTATGACCTATAACAAAATGCTGATAGTAAAATTCTGTAATATTTAGTCTACATATAAAAAATTGCTATTCATTTTGAGATTTCCTAAAGAAATTTCCAAAGATTAATTTGTGTTTTTAAAAATAGATAAGACAAATGTAATATAAATTTTAAAATATGGATATGAATATATACAATTAAATATCTGCTCTGCATTATGGCTCCAGTCTTTCTGATGTTGTATTTTGAAGCCTGCCAATCTAAGAGTCTAAGAGTATGTTGCCTCTTTGTTGACCTCAGATATGATAGCTGTGTGTCTGAATATTTTTGTGTTCTTTGAATATCTTGAACCATATCAATGTTCTGTACATTTATTTACAGGTCTGTTTACAAGTGTGTGCATTTAATGGAGATGCAGTGGTAGATCCCTGTGGATTTGCATCACTCTCTAATTTAAGTTGAAGCTCAGACGGAGTCAAGAGTTTACAGACATCCATCAAAAAGAGAAATAGAGAGAGAGAGAGAGAGAGAGAGAGAGAGAGAGAGAGAGAGAGAGAGAGAGAGAGAGAGAGAGAATGAGAGAGAGGCAGGCAGCACAAAAAGAGGAAGCCTCCAATCACAGGAGCTGTGAGAGCTGGAATCAGTCAGTCAGAACCTGCCAGAACCGGTTCATGGATCTGAGCAGAATCAAGATCAGCAATCTGGTTTTTAACAAAAAACCTTCTCTGTCCCGCAGGCATGAGAATTACCCTCATCCTAATCTAGACAGCATTAACACACATACACACACACACAGATAAAATGAGCTGAGGTCTATCTCTGCAAGAGGCTGCTGGAATGAGACCAGCAAGCAGATACAGATAAACATGCTCTGCTATATAGAGACTTTAGAGGGCAGTAAGATATCTTATGGATGGATATGGGGTATAAATGTGGAGATGAGCTTTATGACTCATGTCTCGGGGGCTAGAACTGTTTTACAATCTGTCTAGACTATCAGTAAAACTAAAAATGTTTTTTTATGAATATGGGGTTGAGAAAGGTCTGTGATGGTGACCTAAAAGGACAGACATTTGGTGCTAAACAGAAAAACCGGAGCATCAGGCGATGTCTGATCCAGGTTGGCGCACGCCTCATTTCATTTAAAGGCTATAGAGAGATATAAAATACTGACTCATCGGATTATCTCTTACCTCTGTTCAGGACATGACAGTACAGGAGTCTGTAATACTCAACAGAGAGTGTGCACTACAAAATAGGAACTCACAATCTAAGGCCTGTTTCCAACAGCAAGCACATGCAGTGGCACTGTGGCGTAACTGCTAAGGCAGACTCACAAAATGCACTGGCAATGTTTTTGCTGCATAAGAGCTGTGGCTCCATGTAGAAAGTAAAGTGATTTCTAGATTATAGCATAGAATTTTCTTCAATGATGACCATAAATTGAGGTTGGTCAAAAGATATTCATTATACACTTGATTGCTATGAAATTCAATGTACATGAGAAGGACTGCACTTACATTTTTAAAATAGATAGAACGATAGAACAAACGATAGAACGAACGATAGATAGATAGACAGATAGATAGATAGATAGACAGATATACAGAACCTTAGTTAAGCAATAGATAGATTAATAGATTGAACGATAGATGGAAAGAAAAAACGATTGATAACTTAAGATAAGAACCATACCATATCCAACTTAAGAGGCCTACACTGTGAAGAATGGCTCTTGATAACAGAATGGTTTCTAATGGGGCTGAAGAACCTTTATTGTTATAAGTGCAGGCATGAATGCAAAACCTTGTTATCAACCCTTTCCTCAGGGAAAATATAGTTAGTGACTAAAAAAAGCAATAAGAAAAGCAGGAAGTGAGGGTTACAGTAGTTGGCCTTTGGCTGTCTAAACAGTGGTGCCCTTCTGAGTAAATGAGCCACTCTAGATCAATATGAGCACCTTGGACCCTGGGAGCCAGATAACGTAACACAATTATGTTGTTGATTACCTAACAATACCTGCTCCCGATCAACACGAAGCAGGTCACGTCTCATTCAAAAGTATACGTGTACACATGTGCAGTAGTGAACATACACACACACACGTCTGGCTTACTATCCTTGTGGGGACTCTCCATAACGGTGGCGTAGTGGTTTTATACTGTACAAACCGTATATTCTATTGCCCTACACCTCACAGGAAAACTTTCTGCATTTTTACATTCTCAGAAAAACTCATTCTGTATGATTTAGAAGCTTGTTTCCCCATGAGGACCTCAATTTAGGTCCCCACGGTGACTCGAGTCCCCATGAGTCGGTGTGTATTCAAGTTGAACCCACCGGGATAGAAAACCATGTACACACACACACACACACACGTGTGTCAGTGCACTTATCATGTGTCTGAACTTGAAATGCCACACCTACACGCGAAGGCACTGATAAAGCACAGGGTTTGGCGTGGTGTGACTGTTTGATCCATTATATAGGATAAGAGTGGTGCACAGTGATATCAGCATGGCATTAAGCCAAACCTTTGTGCTCTGACTCGACCATCCTGTCAGCTGAATGAGGGTGAAGAAAGTAATATTTGCTCTATAGAAAAAGGCATGAAATAAATGAGACGCTGCCATTCTGACTGAAAGGATGGTTTTAAACGATGATGATGTGATCGTATCATGATGAAATTATTATGAATTTGTATAGACTATGTTTGCCCAAATTAATATTTTATTGCTCAGACACTGATCTTTGATTGCTCAAGAGATTTTATGGAGTTCTCATTTGTGTTTCATATAAGTATTAACTTTGTCTCAGAAGTTTCTCCTGCAATTCATTTAGAGAAATAAAAATGTAATTGTTGAACTATAAAATGTATGTGAACAGCACAGCTCAAATACTGTAATTCAATATAGGGTAATAAATAATTAAAATTCATAGTGAAATTCATATTAACATTTTCAAGATGTGAAGATTATTTGCAAAATGCTAGAAAACGAATGTGCTCACTTGAGGTGGATACAGTTTTTATTTGGTAAGAAGACATGCACATAAACTACGACGGAAGCACATTTACTGAATAATTTCTTAGGTAAAGTCATGAGACTTTGTCTCAACATGCCAAGTGACTGAACAATTCACATCTCAAATTTTCCTATCAAAATGACTGGCTCATTCACTGTTGCTCCCTAAAGTATCTACTGTCAATCGCTTGTGCTCTGAAACATAATTAATTAATGACATTTAATAAAAGACCCACAGTTTCCAGTGTATACCACTTCTAGGAAAACATAGCTATTGCTGAGATCTGTTATTTAAAGAAATGTCCATTTGCTTTCTATTTAAACTTGTTGTGTAGGAGAATCAACTGAGACATTTAGAGGTCTCGTTTGTAATTTTCTTTCCAATGCGAGAATGAGGATTGAAATTTATAGACAGATTTGTGTTGTGTGATCGTGTGTGTGAGTATGTGTTAGATGTCGAGGTGTGTTTGAAGTGTCTGTAAACTGTAAAGTAGAGTTTTTTTCAACAGTCACAGCTGGAGCCCAGGTTTGGACTGGTGTAGTGGATCTGTAAAGAGGTGAGGGTCGTGAGATGTGTGTGTGTGTGTGTGTGTGTGTGTGTGTGTGTGTGTCAACAAGGTTTCCACAGCTGTCCAATCAAACCCATCCCAACCCTACCCACTGCTGCCCACTCTTTTCCCAGAGTCCACAGCAGTGGCCCCCAAGAGGGGCCTACAAGTCGACTTCCTGTAAGAGGGAGAGCAGAGCAGGAAGCAATTTGTCACACAGGATTAAACGACAGGAATA